ATAGGCAATTTGCGGCACAAACTCCCTGTATGTAGGCAACCGACAGTACATCGCCCCCCCTGTCAGCCGGACCTTAATCCGCCCCTGGGCGGTCGTGGGGTAGCAGCGGCTAATATGTCAACATAGCTCATTGGAAGGCATTGAGGAAGGAAAACAGAACAGGGAAACCTGCTAAAAACCTGCCGCAGCAACAGCAAAAACCGAAAACAGTTTTCCACGACCTGCGCCTGCGACCCTACGCCGTCCATTGCAGACGAGCCTTGATGTAATATGTCCCTCTACGACCCCCTGCCGAGATAGCACGACGCGCCGAGGACGTTTCGCTATTAAGTGCGCCGTCTCCCTCCACGCGACACACAAGATATACCCTTCACAAAAGGTCGGAAGGTGTGACCCGCGTTAACTATCTCACTCGAGGGATACCTCACTTTTAAAACGACCGTATACTGGTTGGAGGTCTCGTTGCGGTGATTTGAACTTTGCGGAGTTTTGGAGGAAATAGGGTACATTTCGTCCAGAAAATGTGTGATTCCCAAGGAAAACGTGCTTTTCACGAATACCTCATTGCGTGACCTCTTTATGACTTACGAGGTCGCGATTCTTGCACTTCTTGTCGCCTCACCGGTGACCTCACAAGAGCAAGAACCGTGACCTCAGAGGTGACAATGAGGTCTCCGTGAGAAAAACGTTTTCATTGGGTTGCACTGTTGTTGAAAAGCGACTGGAGAAGAGAGGGAACACTACCGTACACTCCACTGATGATGGGAGGCGGTAAGGGTAAGGTACCCCTCGCTCTCACTGCCGGAGGGCCCGGGCTCATGCAGACCGATTACATTCCCCACGCTCTGCAGCGCCTCCCGTTGCGCAAGCAGAGCGCCCCGCCCAGGTTGTCCAACCCTCCCTCTGCCGTGCAGCGCCCCGTGCAGCCCCTGAAGCCCCGCCGCTCCGGAGCTCGGACTATTATTAATAGGGCCGGCCGTCGCAACCTCCGCGCAGAGGTAATAATGCCTTAACAGCATTGACAACAGTTTCAAACTGACAGTTGTTCTAAAAATGTGAAAAACTGCACTCTATCCTACTATTTGCAATACATTTTAGCATTTTTCTAGGAAAATATTGTTGCCGTGTACATCACTGACTGACCGGCAGCGAGACGGGCCGATGACTTTTCACGGCGGGAGTCAAAAGAGTCTGTTTGCGTCGAAGCCTCCTTCCCACGCTAACAAAAGAGAGCAAGGGGCAAAGGGGGGGGGGGGTGAAAGAACATATTAAATATCTGCAAAAAATAGAAGAAGGAGGAGGAGGAGGAGAAAAGAGAGAGTGAGAGTTCGACCACCCTCTGATTGTGTACACACGGCAGTGATCCCTCCTCTGCGCCCCCAGGACGGTGGCCCCCGCAGAGGGCCCTCCCGGGACCCAGGCCGCTCTCAACAGGTCAGAGAGCCGGGGCGGGCCGGGGGCCGGGCGGGGCCACGACGCCCACGGCAGCCTTGTGGTCACTGCTCCACGTCCCCCCGCCCGCGACACTCGTGGACGGACAGACAGACGGACGGACGGACAGACAGACAGACAGACAGACAGACAGACAGACAGACAGGGCACGGAAAAAAAGAATTTGCTCCCACAACTAACGATTTTGTTTACATAGACATCACAAATAATTTTTAGTTGCAGGAACAAAGAAATTGCTATGGGAACCAAAATTCTGCTGCCACAACTAACGCGTCGCTATGGTCGGCTATGGTAACAAATGCAACTGTTCTGGTTACTAAACGAGGATTTTTTCTTACAACAAACGCATTTGTTGGCTGAGCGATTAGCGAAGCCTATTACTCCACTGATGATCAAAAAGTTTCGCGTCTGTCTGTCTGTCTGTCTGTCTGTCATCACGATAACTCGAGAACGAATTGAG